AGAACTGTGAGTTGACAGCACTTTTCGCTCTCAGTACTTTGAAATTGTCATTTAATTATCTCCTGACCTTCACCAGTTAGTTAGTAATGAGAAATGTGCTGTCATTCTAATGGTTGCTCCTACAATTCTATTCTTAAAAACATGTTTCAGACTCATCTGTTTGCATGGCTGACAGCACTGCCTCGTTCTCCTTCATCTCTTCTAGGGCATCACACTGCTGCCCGTTCATGTCCCTCTTCGCTCGCAGAAACAAGAGGCTGCACAGACTGAGGTCAAGTGAGTGAGGTACATGGGGCAAGAAAGAGATGGTGTTTTTTGCCAAAACTGGGGCACTGAGATGGCTGCAGGAGCAGGTGCATTGTTGTACTGGCAAAACCAGTACCCCGTCTGCAACAAATTAGGCCTTTTTTGTTGCACACTGTTACATAATCTTCTCAGACCCTCTAAATAGAAAGCTTGATTAACAATCTGACCTGGTGGAACAAACTCCAAATGTACTATCCCCCTCACATTAAAAAAAAAAAAAAAGAGCCTTGTCTTGATCTTTGATTTCATGTGACGAACTTTTTTGGGGTGAAGTGACCATGGCATCTTCCACTGGCTTGATTGATGTTCGCTTTCATAACACCATGTCCCATAATCAGTAATGACCTTGGGAAGAAAGTCTGAGGCACATTGGGGCTGTTCTTTTCAAAGCATGGCACGTTTCCACTCAACACTTGTGTTCTTCGTCAGTCAGAAACCGTGGCACAAATTTCGCAAGGACTCTTCTCATTCCCAAATCGCTGAATTCGCTGAAATGAGTTCCCAGATACTCCAGCTAACTTCCCCATCTCTTCAATGGTCCATCGTCAGTCTTCAAGCACAAGCGTATAAATTTTGTCAACACTTTTGTCCTTTTGGGAAGTTGATGGAAGTCCAGGACGAGATTTGTCATCAATTGACAAGTTCACCTTTTTTGAAATGGGAAAGATGCTTGTACACGTGATTTTTCCCAAAGTGATGTCCTTGTAAGCTGTGTTCAACATCCCAATCGTTTCTGCGGCATTTTTCCTGAGCAGTAAAGCTTCATCTTTCTCCCAAAGAGCAATCAGCTGGTGGGTCTGAACCATCAGCCTTGAGGTGAGCAGTCAAACACATAATCCACCATGCCACCAGGGATCCTTTTAATAACACTAGGAGGGTTGAAACCACTCATGAGCATCCACTACATTCTCTAGTGATGCTGCAGTGGACATGGAAAGCCATGTTTGCCAATGTACTTTAATAAAGTCTGCTCAGAAACGTCTAAGACAGATTTCCACTCGAGTAACAGACACAAGAAGATATTCGTGCCTGGATATAGCCGTAACTGTTACTGAGATTCTTATGATAATAAATTTCTTTAAAGTAACTTTTAAGGCATCTAAAACAGAGTTTTTGGCCACTTTCGGCCAGTAGCATCCCTAACACAGGCACAACTCAAGAGGAATTAAAAGTTCAGTTCCAGATCACCATAGTTAAGGAATATGGCAATAAAGTGAGTCACATCTTGTTTGTTTCCCAGAATATACAGAAGTTATGTTTATACTATATATAGTCTGTGAAGCGAGCAATCATAGCATTACAAAAATGGTTGAAATATAGTGAGACTTATCAAAATGTGACAGAAACAAAGTGAGCACATGCTTTGTGGAAAATGGTGCCAACAGACCTACTCAACACAGGGCTGCCACAAACTTTCAATAAAAATTACAGTCTGCAAAGCGCAATAAAACGAGATCTTTTCTCCCCCGAGAAGAATTTATCTCAAAGGATGGCACTGAATCTGCAGCTTCGGGAGAAGGATATATCTGACCAGAGCACACAGGAGCAGATGACGGGGGAGGAGGAGAGACTGGAGC